ACAAACAAAATTAAAAAGTTAAAGAAATGTAGTACAGATTTGAAATCATTTTTTGATTAAAACAATTAAATTATTTTCAAAATATGTATTTGAATTCTAATATATTAAAGTCTATGTTTAGTAAATGCCGTTTTGAATCAGCCTTTAAACTTTCCATTGTGCAGTTTAAGTCGAATTCTAGTTTATCATTAAAAGTTCGAAGGAAATGTTTAAGTATGTAATGTAAATTTAAGAAGTATGTAATATAAATTTAAGAAAATGCAAAAAAAAGGTCTACGATATTTTTTTTTTATATTATATTTCTTATTTTAAGATGGGTTATGGGAATAACAAAGTTAATCTCTAAAAATTTAGTAGGATATTTATGAGAAACTTCATTAAAGTAAGATTAAAATGTTACCACGCTTTTCTTTAAACATAAATAGCAACACTTGATGAATGTTAAGTTTATAAATGTTCACGCAATAGAGGCTTAAAATATGCATTTCTATTTTGCCCCAAATATTATCCTGCAACCATGTTTTTGTTTACTATAAATTTTTTTTAGTTTTGTGTGACTGTTTTACTAGTGTTTCACTAGTGTATCTAACTATTTTACTAGTATATCTAATTGCATATATCCTAACAATATAAAAGAAAAAACGAAGTTCAACAAAAACTTTGCACAGCTGACTACTTTTTAAAAGGTTTTTGCAAAGTATTCAAATTTAAAGTTTTTTTCTTTAACTTTGAATTTACGCATTTCAAATTTTCAACAAAATAAGAAATATAGTTTTCTAAAAAATTTATTTGCCATTTACTGACTGAAGTAATAGGCTTTCTTTGAGTATCATTTACTCTAATATCTAGACCTTTTGCTTTACTGTTGACAAAAAACCACCACTTGACAACTGTTCCAATGAAAAGTGCTGTACCTTCAGCTTCAATAAATTTCAAACATAATTCAGCAACGTTTTTTATCGTAAAAAATATTAAAAACTTTTCTAACATTTTGTCGGTTTGGTGACACATCTTTTCGTGGTGACACATCTTTTTGTGCTAACGGTGACAACTTAACAATTTGATTATCAACATCATGAAGTTGTAAATTTTTATTCTGCAAGTTGCTCAGTACTGTTATTATTTAGCAATTTTTTAAGCACAGTTTTCAGTGACTCAATTATGTCACTGTATAGTCTTCTAAATTCGCTTATAAAATCGTACAATAATGCTCATCCGTTTAAGAAAAAAGCCGAAAGTCAAAAAAAAGTCTATAAAATATGAGATCAAAGAAAAGAAAGATTGGGAGGATCAAGTAAAGACTTTGATCCAAAAGTACACCTCAATGGCATTGAAACAAAAAGGTTTTTTAATGTCATTTTGGGCCAATCAAACAACCAAGCAATCTGTTCCTTCCCATTTCAGTTACTCCGCTTTAGAGTTCCAGTCCAATACAGATCAGCTTATTGAGCCAATAGATATCGTTGATACCACGTCAGATGTCTCTCGCCCTGACATCCTCAGCACAGTTCAAATTGAGACGAAGAAGGCCAAGACTCATGCTCAAGACACAATCAAAGCAGAAATCGTTGTTTTGAATCAAGAAATAGTTGCTATGAAGAGCAGAAAAAGAAGTGGCTTAAGGACCGATGCTGAAGAAGAAACCTTTAAATAGAAGAAGGCCAATGTCCAGGAACTCACGACTAATCTTAACAAGTTGATCGGCAACATGAAGTCAAAACAAAAATCAAGGGCTGAAAAGAAAACTGTCATGAATCAGGTAATATTAATATCATATAATAATAAGTTACAATAATATTACTTTGGAAAATGAACATTAACTAAATAAATTAACAAAGTTATTTGTATAGTTTTTTTGGTACTGTTAGTATTTGCTGACCACCCGGATGTGAAAAAAGCTCTTAAAGTACGTGACGGAATTGGTCGCCCTACTATTGAGGTAGAACAATCTGAGATATTGCGTTTCATCATACAACTTGCTGAACATGGATCTGCTGCCCACGATAAAAGACAATCTGAAGTGTATAGGGTACAACTTTAGCTAATAAAAAATTCTATTCGACTATATTAGGTCTCATTAAAACTTATCAGCCTCTAAACACTGTACTCTATTTACTGATAATTTTTTAAAATTACTTTTAAAGAGCCTTAAATCGTTGGATGAACTTGGTGCTGAGCTCGAAAAGAAAGGTTACCATCTTAGCAGAAGTGCTTTATATACTCGTTTGCTGCAAAAACGGAGTGATTCGCTTGAAGGAAAGAGACACGTCCACACAGTTCCAGTCAAGTTGATGCGGGCTCAAAAAGTTTTCTACATTCAAGTCACGTGGATGGTCCATTTTGTACAGCAACTATAAAGAATGTGGAAGAAGTTTGCTTTTTTTTTGGGCCCAAAGGATTTATGCTTTTTAAGTCAAGACGATAAAGCTCGGATCCCTATAGGAATCACTGCTGCCAACAAACAAGCTCCTATATTGATGCATAAATAATATCGAGTTTCTCTTCCTGATCATGATTGGGTCATCGCTGCAAAGCACATACTCATCCCGTCCGTATACGCAGGTATCGCAATCAAACCAGATAGGCTTAGAAAATCTGACGCAGTTTCCTATTCCGGTCCTACTTATGTTGCTATTCGTTCCGGAAAGCATTCATCATCGACAGCGTATGCTCACGGATTGGACTTTGAACGACTTTTGACTCTACCAGAGTTTGATTCCATTGCAAAAGATCCTTTGATCAAGTTGAACTCATCTAGACTCTAAAGGTATTCAAATTCATTTTTAATATAAACTCTTTATCAAAATACAAATGTGTGCAAGGCTTGAAGAAATAATTGTGTGCCTTGCGACTTATATTTGAGGCAGGGCAGTGGATCTTCTTTTGGAGAAACAGAACTTTAAATTTGCTGGAAATAGCTGTGCCTCGGTCTTTTCAGGTCTGATGATTGATCAGTTTCCAACGGTGGCCGAGTATATCGATCCAGACAACAAGACGGAGCTCGATGTTCATCATCTCTTATCAAAGGATCAGGACTGGTGTGCCTCTCACGTGCGCACCAGTCAATATTTCACGCAAATTGTGAAATGTAAAGATCCCGGATGTTGCGCTTTGAAAAGGAGCTCTTACTTCCATGTTATTCCTGGTTGATTTCTGCCTCCACCTATTCCAATTAGCCCGTCAGAAGATGACTTGAAATCTGTAGCCATTTTAGATGTTGCCAGCAAGAACCGTTTTCCTTCTGTATTTTTTCTTATCGCTTCCAATATTCAGAGCACCATTCCTCGATCATTAAAATCATTTAAATTTCCTTCTTACGATCTGTTTTGTCTTTCTGTGCAATCAAGTTTGTCTCAGAGAATCTGCAAGCATTGTAACTTGTACTTTGCCTCCCAAGTCATGCTCAAAAAGCATGTCAGCGTTACTCATTCCAATATTATTAACCAAATGGCTATTACTTTTTCGGAAATCAAGCCTGTTCGCATTGGCACCAAGCGCAAAAGAGAGTTAATGGCTGTAATTGCAATAGAGGAGAATGCGGCCTTTGCTGAATGGTTCGATGAGGACGAACTCGAAAGGGAGGGCCTACATATTCCGAATAATTCAACTATTGTAGGCGAACCCGACTGCTCTATTCCAATCATATCAATTGATAGTTATTAAAAAAATCCTTGGATGGATGATGCGTGAGGCAAGTTCTCATGACACACTTTGATTAAATTTAATATATAAAATAAGACAAAAATAATAATTTTTTTATTCTTTTTCAGAAACGCAAAGGAGCAAAAACATACGTGGAAATACCTAATCAGCTCCTGAATGATATTTAAACAGAGAAAAATGTAAATCACATGTAAAAAATGTCTTAAATTAAGAAAGGATTTTTTTTTAAAAATGAAGGGAGGGGGGGAGCTCAAAATATGACGTCTTTTATAAGGTGGGGGGGGGGGGTATAGTAAAAAAGGACAATTGGTGACAACGGGTGGGGTGGGGTGGTGGGAAGTGTGGGGAGGGGAGAGGGTCAAAAAATGCTTAAAAAATAGTAACGTTTTTTATGGATGGACCCTAAGTACAAATAGTGTTGCTACATCTACTAATGGTTTGGGTTGAGACAGCAAGCACTTTTTTCATTAAAAAATTTTTCTGAAAAGTTAAAGTGCGCATTTTAAGAATTGAAGCGCACAAAATATTTTAAGAAATAGCGCCTAAAATTATACCCGTAACGAAGGTTGAAAATTGCAGGGTTGACTGTAAGAAACATTGTGTGAGGTTTATTTGTTAGTCGGAAAAAAAAAATTTAATTATTTCATTATAAACAAAACCATTTACAAAAAATTTGAAAACCATTTTTAAAAGAATATTTTTAAGAAATTTGTTTTAATATTAATTAGCATTTTTTATAAAACATTTTATAAAACATTTTTATCGATTACGTAAATTTTTAAAATTAAGTAAAAACGTCAAGTGAAATAAAAAATTTCGAATTACAGTTTAGAAGTTAAAGTTTCGAGGAAAAGTTCTACCATCGAATTTTTTTGTTTTGTTGACGATGAATATCTCTTAAAGAAACAATGGCGAAAACCATAACCTCGACAAATTATTTTTTATAAACATAAATTTATACTGTGCAAATCTAAAATAAAATAATTTCTATAAAATTATTATAAAATTAAGTTTTTTTTCAAAATACAATCAAATCAAAAATTTATGACTTTATCTTGAATATAGAACGATACTATTTGAAAAGAAATTGATAATAAAATAAAAAATTTAATACTTTATTTAATTTGCATATTTAGAAAAAATTCTTAAACATAATATAATATAAATATATAAAATAATTAACAAATATTTATTTTTTATACCAAATTTATATACCATAATGATAGTTTTATTTATTAGTTTATATTATAATTATTACTAATAATATATTTGAAAATGAATTATTTATATTATATTTTAATAATAAAAATTAAACTTTGAAGTAATAAATCCAATAAACTAAAAAAATTAATTTGTAAATTAAAAAAACATATTTATTATAAAGCAATACATTATATATTTCATTAGTTATTTATAATTATTGTTTTTATTTAATATATTTAAAGTATTAAATATTTTATCGTGTTGTAAAGTTTTCTAATTCATTGAGGTTACAAAAATTTTTCCAACGGTACTCGATCGCTAACACCATGACATTCGAACAACGAATCCATTCATAAAATTCTTTAATAAAATCAATGTCTTCGTGAAGTTTAAGATGTAATAATTCACAAAGATTAATCCACGGAAGAAAGTTTTCTTCAAAATCTTTTTTTGTTATTAAATAATTTGAGATGAATATCTGCAACACTTCAATCTTATCTTTCGGTTTCCAACCTTCGAAATTAATTGGACACGAAAAGATGACAGTGCGAACATTAGTTGAACATTGAATTAAAAGTTTTTTCTCTTCATCACTTAAAATATTTTTATTAACTTGTAACGACGATAACTTTCTTTCAGATTTTACGTAATGATTTATGAAATAATTTTCGCAAGAAGTTAAGTAAGAAGTTTTTTGTAAGAAGTGTTTAATCGAAATCTCCCACTCTCGTTTATCTTGTTTATTTCGTTCATCAACAATTAATTTAATTTCATCATTAAATGATGATTGACTTTCATAAAAACATTCAATGAATAAATCGTAATCGTAACTTTTACTTAGACGATCTAAAGTAAAATTAAATATTTATTATAAAAATAAACAAATATAAATTCAAATAATAATCGAAATTATAAAATCATACATTCAACATAATCATATATATAAATTTTATTTATGATTAAATACAATTTATTATTGTTATTAAATATATTAATTTTACATAATAATATTAAATACCTAATATTATATACATAAATTAATATTAAATTAAAATGATATATAAAAATATCAAAACTGTGAACCTTATAAATAAAATAATTATTTTTAAAAAAGTTATAAAAATATAAAGAATTTTTTAATTTTATTAAAACACAATTCAAACATTTTATATCATTTTCAAAGAAAATAATTTAAATGTAAGTTATAAATTAAAACATACTTAAAATAACATAACAAAAAGTAATCATTTATATAACTTATAAATACTTTCTTTTATCCAAACAAATGTCTTTATTTGGTTGTTTTAATAAAACATAAAATTTAAACACCGAATAAATATTTTACATATTGAATTACTAAAGAAAATTTGAAAAAAGAATATTTGTTAGTTCGATTGTAACGTTGATTAAAAACTTTGACAAATTCCTTTATGACGATTGTATTGGTAAAATGCTGAAACTTTCAGATCAAGAGCAAGAATAAAGTGCAGAAAAAAAGTTTAGTGCTCAGACTTCAACTGATTTAGGGAGAACACGAAAACTTCGACTAAATAATTGGATTAGTGCAGTGATATGGTTAAATTAGGGAAAATATTTCGCACTGTATTCCCGCAATTTATCCGTTGAAAATATCTGCATTTTCACATTTAACCTGTCTCCAAAAAAATATATTCATATTAAGGAGACATTTGCACATCTTAGTCAACATAATTTCATCATTAAAGTATAGCTGCAAAATGTAATATATATAATACATAAAAACAAGCAACAAAAATACCAAAGATTAGCCGATAATCGATTAAATAATAAATCTACCATAAAAATCACATTAAATGTTCGTTGCTCAAAAAAAAAATGATCAAAATTAAATCCATGTAACAATCATTTTAACGTAAACAAAGAAATAATTCATTTTTCACAAAAAATGTTTTATATAAACAATATTTTATGTAAAAGAAAAAGAAATACTTTTCAGAATTTTAAATTTAGACAAACTGTTGATTTACAATAAAAATTGTCATTTTTTTTGCAGCCTACAGTTTTTGTGGTGTAGGTGATATAAGTGTTTTTTTTTATCTTCAGTTTTAGAAAAAATTTATGTTAACTTAGACTTTATATAAAAGAAGAACGGTAAAAGTTTATTATACCCAATCATTTTTTTGCACCAGTAAAGTTTTGGTGGCAGGTTTATTTATTTTTTAACATATTTATATAACTTACCACTTCTATTCTTTATCTACCTTAACTCTCTCATACTCCATTATCGTATTCCCAAGAGGAAATTCATATTATATATTATATATATTCATATTTTATATATATATATTCATATTTTATATATATATATATATATATATATATATATATTGTATATATATATATATATTTTATATATATACATATATATCTTATATATATATATATTTTATATTTATATATATATATATATTTTATATATATACATATATATCTTATATATATATATATATTTTATATTTATATATATATATATTTTATATATATACATATATATCTTATGTATATATATATATATATATATATTTTATATTTATATATATATATATATTTTATATATATATATAAAATATATATTATATATATATATATATATATATATATATATATATATATATATATATATATATATATATATATATATATATATGTATATATATATATATATGATATATAAAATATGAATAGATATTTTTATAAAGCTACAATTTTCTTATAAAAAAATTTTTATACTTAAACGGAGATAAAATTTTGTAAAATAGTTCGTTTTTTATAAAATATTTCTCCATTTTCATATCCATCTAAAGCTCTATATACAATTACATGTATAAACAGTTTAAAATTTATAAACACGTATCTATATGCTACGTTATATTAAAAAGAATAAGCTTAGAGATTGTAATCAAACTAATATAAAAATGTTACATTAAACTTAAAGGTTTATTTATTTTAGCACTTTAATCTTGTATATTTAATATATAATTTAAATAATATATCAACAACAAAAAATGACTTATTATCATCAATTCTATACAAAAGATAGTCGTCGTATGTTACTGTTTTCTAACAAATTAAATTTAGTTTAAAACAAATTTTTTTTTATAAAAATAAATTATTGAATAAAAAGCTGAAGAATACTTGCTTGAGAATTTTAAGAAGTTTTGTTACCGTTGTGAATTTTAATAAACAATGGTAATATAATGATTTCGTAAAACATTTTTAAGCAAAGAAAACGAAGAGTGAGGTTTTATATACTTAAAACTCGATGATCGAACTTTAAAAAAATCTTTTATAAATTCGAATAAAATAATAGAAATTTAAAACCGTTTTTTAGAATTATATCGTAACTATCGCAACCGTTTTTATAAAATGAAAGTATTTGTGACTTCACGATAACCTTGAAATCACATTAAAAGCTAACGTTTAGATCACATTAAAAACAGGTCGAATAATAAAATATATGTTGCCGTTGGAAGACATAAACTAATAATTCTATTAAGTTTAATGACGTGAAATAAATAAAACGAAAAAAAAAAGTATATATATCAAAAAAAAAAAAAAAAAATTAGCTTCTCATTTTTTCTGACGTTTTAACATAATTTAAAAGCCACAAAAAATGAGAATCATGTTTTTTTTTTAACAGAATTTGCAGTTTGTAAATTAGTATTATTTACTTTACCTATAAATAAAGAAAACGAACCGAATAAAAAGTTATATATTCATAAAAGTTAAATATATTCATAAAAAATTATATTATAAAAACGTAGTGAGACATAAACGTGAAATATTAACGATGTATATATAAAAAAACGTCATATATATAAAAATATTTGTATATTTTTCTTGATGTTTCTAACTTATTTCAGTTTTAAACCGTTACTTTCATGAGTTTAACAAAAAAAAAAAAATTTTTTAATGTTAAAGATGAATTTAACAAAAAAAAAAACTCCGTCTAAAAAGTATAAAAAGTTCACAAACTTTAAAATAATATGTCAGTGAAACTGCAAAACTTCGTAAATAATTTTTTGATAAATGTTCAGGAGAGAGTTAAAATTAAATAGGGTAGAGCGTGGCATATAGAGACACTTAAGAAACAAATGCTTTCTGCGGATAAACTAATCATAGTTAACACTGTTTTTTATAAATTTCCTAAACTTCATTGATATAAGAAAATGAAAAAACAAAAAATAATTTTTTAAATAAGCTACGACAACCGAAAAAACAAAACTCCAGAGCTGCAAATTTTTCATATTTTGCAAAAGGGTGGGGCAAAACGGGACAGTTAAAATCCAACAGTTATTCGTTGACTGTGCTGCTTTAAAAAAGCAAAAATAAAAGTTTTTTATTATTTAAACCTGTATAGACATATTTTCTTAGATAAAAATAACATATGGGTAAGTTATTTTTATCTAAGAAAATATATAATAAACTACACGCCCCTACGCCCATACATTCCCAAAAACAATAATTAAAAATAAGAAATTTTTGGTGTTTTATTATAAAAATGCTTTTAAACAAACAAACTTCAAATAAAGATCTAAAAACAAAGTAGGAAAAACTGGTATATATTATTAACTTGTCAATAATACATAAGATTTAACACAAAATATAAGATCTGAAATTAATTGGCAACAACTTTGATGAGCCCAAAATCTACAGATATTACATCTAAACCAATCATCTTTGTTTCTGACATCATTCCACCACAAGCCACACACATAACATTCACTATTTTCTGGTAAAACATTCTCATCGTGAATGGGTGGCCTTTTATCTGCTACATTTTCTTTTTTTAAAGAGACTAGAGGCAACTTCTTTTTACTTAGTTTTAAGTTACTTTTTTGTTTTTGACTCCCTTAATAAAACCTTACCTTCCTCTATTACAATCTTCTTCACTGAAACTCAATTTATACATTCACACTTAACTAGAAACTTCATTTTTTTATTTTTTCTCTAAACAAATATATTCAGTTTTTCCTAAAATAAAATTGACAGTGTTTTAACCTATTTTATTTAATATAATTTTATAATATGTATTTGTTAAATTTTATGCATATAATATAATTATAATGATATACTAAAAATATTTATAATGTAAAATACTTTACTTCAAGAGTTTGTATTATAATCTAAATCGGCACAGTTTTTTCTGGATTTTATTATTTTAGTTTTTAATATTGCGAGAACCAAAAAGTAAAAGTTTTGTGTATGCAGAAATATTTAAATGTAGAAATAGTTTACTGGTTGCATTTTAGACAGTTTTAATCACATTTATACTTGAGATTTCGTTTTTACGATTTTATTATTGCAAAAATATAAAAAAAGTTTTTTTTTAGATTATAATGATGTTACATGTTTAACCCTCGATTATAATATTTTTAGATGAGTAAAAAATGTCAGAAAAATGTGAGAAAAGTTTTAAATGAACATTGTAATAAAATGTCATATTGTAGAATGGTAGGAAGATTTCAAATCAAATGAAACTTTTTTTTTCACTTTCAAATGAAATGAGAAATGTTGTTACCATGAATATATTTATAAATTAATAGCTAAATTTCATTAAATACATTTAATATATTTCTAGATATGAAGAACTTAAAAAATACTCTTATGATTCATTTAAAGTCCACAAAAAAAAATCATCAACGGATTGTGTTATCAACGGATTGGGTTATCAACGGATTGTGTTATCAACGGATTGTGTTATCAACGGATTGTGTTATCAACGGATTGTGTTATCAACGGATTGTGTTATCAACGGATTGTGTTATCAACGGATTGTGTTATCAACGGATTGGGTTATCAACGGATTGTGTTATCAACGGATTGTGTTATCAACGGATTGTGTTATCAACGGATTGTGTTATCAACGGATTGTGTTATCAACGGATTGTGTTATCAACGGATTGTGTTATCAACGGATTGTGTTATCAACGGATTGTGTTATCAACGGATTGTGTTATCAACGGATTGTGTTATCAACGGATTGTGTTATCAACAGATTGTGTTATCAACAGATTGTGTTATCAACGGATTGTGTTATCAACGGATTGTGTTATCAACGGATTGTGTTATCAACGGATTGTGTTATCAACGGATTGTGTTATCAACGGATTGGGTTATCAACGGATTGTGTTATCAACGGATTGTGTTATCAACGGATTGTGTTATCAACGGATTGTGTTATCAACGGATTGTGTTATCAACGGATTGTGTTATCAACGGATTGTGTTATCAACGGATTGTGTTATCAACGGATTGTGTTATCAACGGATTGTGTTATCAACGGATTGTGTTATCAACAGATTGTGTTATCAACAGATTGTGTTATCAACGGATTGTGTTATCAACGGATTGTGTTATCAACGGATTGTGTTATCAACGGATTGTGTTATCAACAGATTGTGTTATCAACGGATTGTGTTATCAACGGATTGTGTTATCAACGGATTGTGTTATGATCTGGTAAAAATTGAAAAAATTTACTGTAGCTCCAGATACTCAAGTTTTTCTGATTTTGGTCAATATTAATTCAATTATAACTTTTGAATGATTTAGTCAATCAAGCTGAAATTTTCTAAATTGTGTTTTTTTTTCATAAAAGCTGTGGGTGGTCAAAATTTGAAGCAAATTTAGGGTGGTGCCCTGGGGACCTTTAGGTGATTTGACATGGAATGATCAATGTACATATGCTGAGTACCTGTGTTCCAAATAATAGAGTCACTATTAAAAGAGCTGGTAAAGAAAAAAAACTATATATAATTGTTTGATATAACAAAAATATAAAAAAAACACGGACAGCATTGACAGATCTGACAAAAAGTTAATAACCTACAAAGTTGAAAGAAAAAGTAAAAAATTTTTATAAAAAGATTTTCATGCATATAATTAGTGTTTTGTATTCAATGTATTTCAAGTTTTGTATTCAATGTAATTCAAGTATTGTAAAAAAACCATAAAACAGTGAAAAAAAAATTGAAATAGCACTTAAGTGTTCTTCTCCTTTACAATCAATAGATTGTCAATTTATTAAAAGTATTCCAGAGAAAACGGTCATATCTAATAGCAGATGTGTTTTATACTCTGTGAATAAAGATCAAAGACAAGGTATATTTGAATGGACTGTAATATTAGTTTGAGTGTTACAATTAAGGGGTTAAGTATTTGACAAAAGTTTACTAAGAATGCAGTTTAAACAATCAACTTTTATAGAATTTTAATGGACGTAAAATAACAACTTTTATAACAGCATTTAAAACAGTATATTAAGTTATTTGTTGCTTATTAATTCTTAAGTACACCAGCTTAAATGCATTTCCAGTCAGTGGTGAGATCATTTGCTTTAATTTTTGGTCTCAATTCCTGGATTGTAACATAAGTATGTTACAATCCAGGAATTAAGACAGATAGATATTAACTTATATAAAATAATATTCAATAATATTAGCAGTTAAAATAGCATAGATTATACTACATCATGAAAGAAAATTAAGCTGTTTATTTGAAACCCATATGTAATTGGCGTGGTTGATAATGAAGTTCATTATCATTGTCAGCAATTCATTTAAAAACTGTGCATAATGCCATGTTAAGGCAATAGGATTATAATCATCAAACAAGAGTTGGATAATTTAGGAATTAGTGTTTGCTAATTTCTATAGGTCAAATAGGACACTGTTTTCAATGAGACAATATAATAAGATGCAGAATGTTAGGACAATTTAAAAATAAATCAGAATCTGCTAGCAGCAACCCTGCAGACTTGGTTTAAAATGTTATTAAGGGTAAAGGTAGGGGTAACAGGCAGATTTGAAACTCTTTTGTTAATCCCTATAAGTAACACTTACTAGTACAAAGATCAATAAGTTTATGAATGTCTGCTAAAGATAACATAGTTTGTTGTACTAGTTTTTTTCTATCTTTGTCAAACATATCAATTATTGTAACAGTTGCTTTATAAAGTGGCACAGATGGATATAAATTGTTAACATCAAATGAGACCTGAATTTTGTCATTAATGAACCATTCTTTTTCTGTTGACACAAATGAAGATGAATTTTTAAAACGGTATTCTTTTTTTATTTAAAGATGGTTGTATGATCTTAAAAAGATGTTTCAAAAGTTCATGAGGTGGTGTGCCGAATGTTGAAACTATTGTTTAAATTAAATAACCTTTTTCACTTATATGTGCTTTAATACAACCTTATAAACGGGGTGGAATTGCATTTGAAGGATATATTTGACCAAATGTTTTTTTATCTGAAAAATTTTTTTAATTTAGTAAGGGTATGTTCAATAAGATTTAGAAAATACCCAAATTGCTCTTCTCTTCTTTGTATTGCTGATTTCAAATCTTAAATGGCAAACACATTATCTTAATCAAATGGATATAGTTTAAAGCTGTTAAACTTCTTAGTTTATTGATACATAGAGGTTGATTTTTAGAAATATTAACATCTATTTTCACTCTTAAATATTTGGTTAATGTTTTGCTGACAATCTGTCTCAATAAATTAGCTCTTTCTATGTTCATCTTTTTTACATATTTAAAGCGCATTTCACAATTAATGCTATAATATCAAAAAATGGTATTTTATTATGAGTTGGAATGCATTGAGGACCAAGACTTAAAAAGTGTTCCTGTTTCCTTGAGATTGATTTATTTGAAAGACTTGTAAAAGTTTAGT